TATTAGGGTTCTAAGAGGTGTGGGGGTAAGAGTGGTGTGAAAGAATGAGAGCAAATGGAGTGAAAATGGGGTTTTAAAACATAAAAATTTTGACTTTTTAATGATCTACTGTATCGAGCTACCTCGGGACAGCGTACTACCGGTAGATTCTGTCCACATTGGCTTATTTCTTCTATTTTTTATTTTGAATTTATTCCAAACCCTTCCAAATCCAACCCAAGTTTATTCAACATGCTTTTGTACATCAAACCTAGTTGGTACCAGTTCTATTACGACGATTTCATATATTTGCAAGCTAAACTAAGTTTTAACTACTATTTTCTCGAATTTCTATATTAACATTTCCAAAAGAAATAATAACTTGCTACATAAACCTACGTACATATATAAAGATAAAAGGGTGGGGTTTACATATAGTAAGGTTTTCTTAGGGGCAATGTATTCGATTACCCTTTGTTTCAAGTCCAAAACATTTTTGATTGGCGTAGAAGATTTGAATATTAAATCTAAGCGTAGCTCAAGTGATAATAAAAAAAGCTTAAACAAGAATCTTTCTGCTTGTGGAAACTCTTATCACTTTACTCTAAAGAGTCACTTTCATTTCCAACTACTCCATTAAATATTTCCAGAATTATTTTTTCTCCATTGTTAAAGAAACGATTGCCTTTTTTTTTTTTTTAATTTATTATATTCATTCAAAAGCTAATACTATCTGTACCAATCAGAATTGAGTACTCTTAAGTTATCAAATTTTATTAATTGATTACCACTATTTTAAAATTTCAAAAATATTAAACTTATACTAAGATACCGTTTTTATGGCTCGAAAATCATTACATTCATCCTCTTCCTAGTGTTTTTCATCCGAGAAGGAAAAACAGGATTTGTCACTCTACAATTAAGAAATATGCTCAGCAAAGCAGCCATTGACATTCCCAATGAGATGATAGATACAACTAAAGTATATTAGTTATGACGGTTTTGACTATGCTACCTAACAACTTTTTTTATACTATAAGTTTAGAAATTATAAGTTCGACTCACAAAAATAACTTTTTTGCTTATAGGAATAAAGAGGTGTACATCTAATTCTACACAGATTCTGCAATAATAAGAGTCTCATGAACTGTATACACTTTCTCTCTCTCTTACTATTTTTTTGGGTATTTATACCACATTTGGGTATTTTTTTGTTCACGGGTAAAAGACTATGTATATCTTACCCTCTTCATACCCTACAATGATAATAGTCTTGTGCGCTGGATACATCTCTTACCTCTCTTAATATTTTTTTTGGCTATTTATACCACGTATGAGTAGATAGAATTTACTAATTTTTATGATCAAAGTAAAAATAAAAATAAACCTAACTACTTTTTGAAATATATTCATTCTTTGGGTTTGTTTGGATGAATTTTGAATTTTGGGAACAGTAATACTAGACTGACCAAATTTGGAGCCCAAATGATATGAAAGTTGACTTGGGCTGCTTTGATTGATGTCATGTCATTTAGGCCCCAATAAAAATTTCAAATAATAAACTGTCATGTCATTTGAGCTCTAAATTTAGTCCCCAAATTTGATCAGTCTAGCATTACTCTTTTGGGAAAGGGTTTGGATTGAATTCTTCAAACACTTCCAAAATTAAACCTCTATTTACAAAGACGAAATTAAACATTTAATCCAATTCATACTCATGTTTGATATGCAATACATACACGTGTAAGACCCACAAATATATCATAATTATTAACAACTATTTGTCTTATAAATGACTATTTTACTCTTAATCATACAATTCATACCCATGTTAAATGGTACAATTGTCTTCTGCATCTTTAACTGCTTAACCCATATTTCCAAATCCACTCTTTTCCTAGGTTTGACGAAATTCATGGTCATGAGTTGTATCTCTGGGTCAGGTTTGGGAATCGGGTATTAAATTTTCAATTCAAACATGAGATTTGGGAGTCGTTTAAACTATTTTTTTCAAATCTACCTTTCAAAATCCTCACATACCTTTTTACCAAACGACCTTTGGGTTCACTTATAATTTTTTTAAGTAGAGTTATATCATTTTTTTGGATAAAAATTACTATTTTTTTTGTTTTTTGATATAGTAACAAAATTTTACTTTTTAGTACCGTAAGCTTTCCCTAATTATGATAGGAGAAGTTGCTTTTTTTTTTTTTGGGAGGGGAGGGGGGGGGGGGGGGGGGTTGTTTTATAAAAAGAAAGTGAAGAACTGGGACAACTTTTTTTTTCTTTTCTGTTTCTTTCCTCCATTAACAATCAACACCTTGAATAGAATAGAAGTGGATGTACCCACTATTTCATTTCTTTAACAACTACTTTTCACATATTGAAAGCAACCATCCCATTTTCTTTAATTAAATACACTGTAATAATTTATTTATTTTTGGTCAAAACTGTAATAAATTGGAAAAACAAGTAAATATAAAGACCAGGTGGCAAGAGATGCCAATTTAGACAGCAACAGGTTACAGTTCCCACTGCATAATAATATATTGTTGACCCTCTTCTCCAGTTCGTACCATAAGTACATTGAACACCCTACATGATGTTGAATTTTACCCCCTTGTTTCTGCTATCATATGTCTAACTCACGGGGTTAACTATGGTACCAAAAAATAAAATAAAAATAAATATTATACCTTTATTTATTATATTTATGATTATTTTTTATTATATTTGTAGACGTTTTTACCATTATTGTGGTACTCAAAAAATGGTAAAAATAGTACCACAATAGTGATACAAATATTCATAAATATGATAAAAATACTCATAAATGTAATAAAATAACCATAAAAGTAGTAATATTTTTGTATGGAAGAAAAGTGATAAAATTTTTTATCATAAATATTGTAAAAATACCTATAAAAATTATACAAACACCCTTTAAACTAAGGTATGATATTGAATTTTTTTTTATCTATACCGTAGTCAAATCCCTCACCACATGTCTAATCAGGGTTTTTGTTAATTAAGACATTGGTGGTAGAGAATCACCTTTCTTCTACTACTTCTTTTTTTTGCCATTTCTATTTTTTCACTTTTGGGCGATGGAGAGAGAAGGGGAAGGGAAAATAAAAGAGATTAGAACTCTCAACCACATGTTGACTGATGTAAGGCTTTACTATTGGGACACTCCCTCACCTCAACCGACAATCACCTGAACACCCCATTGATGTCCATGGAATTTAGAGCTTTTTATCACATCTGGGGTAACTTGGTCATTTACCATTGAATCATTCGTAGCATCAATGATTGTACAAAAACACATACACATTCATATTACTCTCACATCAGAATTTTCAGTCACAAATAGGGTCAAAATCGGTTCATCAGCCATTATTGTGGCCTTAGAATCACCATGGTATATTGGCAACAACACCATCTCCCTCCCCTATTGAATACAATATGGGTGTTGGTCAGGGTGCCATATAGATCCATTAAGGACACCAACCTCAAAATTTAAGCCTGAACAGTCATTCTTATCAAGTCTTGTTTAGTGGTCTGTAACTCGTCCCAAAACTCTTCTATATGTTTCAATTAGGCTTAACCTCAAACCAATTTTTTGTGTTTTCTGCTCCCCTTCTATAAGATGCGTTCCGAAAGGGTAATTCCCCGTTCGACATATGGCCTTTAACCAAAAATATCTAGCCTATAATGTCAAACACTCGTGAATAAAAGAGTTAATGTTTTACTAATTTGACTTTCTGCTGAAGTAATTTTATGAATTTTCTTAGGAAGAATATGATGTTGTTCGAGATTGGACGTAACTTAGGGAAGACAAATTATAATTTTCTTGGCTTTTTTGTGGGATAACTGATGGTTGATCTATTTTCACTCCCCCAAATAGATGATGCTCAAGCTTTCCACTATATGTTTACTTGTACAACTTCACTTCTCTTACAGAAATAGTAAGAGCTTCAATAATGGAGTGTGAACAAGGTCACGAAGCCTTGATTCATAAGGTATATAGAGGAGCCATGTTTTAGCATTAAGGAGGAATGCTGAGCAATATAACAGTCGGACATTACCAGAAAGCTCACAGCTAAATGTCAACATCAACATCACCATTCTCAAACTTCCTACACCTTTTTGAATAAATTACCATAGTACCCATATGCTTCTACATTCTAATTGACAAACTGTATATCTTGGCCTTTGATTGGGCTTCTCTCTTTCTCTCTCTCTGAATGACATATACAACTTTTCTTTAGAAGCAGTCGCCACAAACACCATCCAAGCCAATCATTGCACTACACCTTTGATGTGTCTCTCCTATTACCATGTCTCTGCTCTGTAGATCTCTACCCCTTAAAAAAAAGTACAAATTGCTGACAGTTTTGGATTCACTCCTTTAAGCTCGCTGGCTTGGTTTCACTGACTTTTCTTCTTGTTTCATCCCCTAAGGAAGAAAGAACCAATTATTCCCACTCTTACTACTCCAGGTCCTGAGAATCTTTCTGTTTCCTGTGCTTTTTCTCAGTTGCTCCTTTTTCTCCTGTAAAGCTTTTTGATTCATACTGCAATTCACTTTATCACAGAATAGATTTATTTTTAAGGGTTCAGTCAATCTTTATTCTGGGTTCAAGTCCTTCCAATTCTGTTCATGGAAATTTGATCTGCTTCTTGTTAATTTATGGTTCTTTGGTGCTCTTAGATCTGATAAGTGTTCTAATCTCCATCACACACAAAGAAAATCTACTTTTTTCCTGTTGTCCCTTGAATTTTCCTTGGGTTTTGGAAAGTTGGGTCTTTACTTGATTCCTCATCTAATGCTTACGTCAAAAAAGCAGGTTGATTCCCTCCAATTGCTTTTTGCTTTATTGTCTACTTGGTCATAGAAACCTTCATTTCTCTGCATTTCTTTTCTGAGTTTCTCTTCTTTCTTTCTAGAGAAGGAGAGAGCTAATTATGAACTCTTTGGCCTTCTAGCTACCAATTTACATTGAAACTATTTGGAAAGAATGAATAGAGAAATGCAAATTCTCTCCCCAGCATCATACCTACGAAACTCAAATTGGTTGTTTGAGGAAAGCAAGGGGTCGAAATGGACAGTGGAAGAGAACAAGCAGTTTGAAAATGCACTGGCCTTGTTCGATAAGGATACTCCAGATCGTTGGTACAATGTGGCCGCCATGATTCCAGGCAAGACGGTGAATGATGTGATCAAACAATACAGGGAATTGGAAGAGGATGTAAGTGATATAGAAGCAGGGCTTGTACCAATTCCAGGGTACACTACCAGTTCTTTCACGCTGGAGTGGGTGAACGATCAAGGCTTTGATGGTTTGAGACAATTCTATGGTCCAGGCGGAAAGCGGGATTCATCAACTCGGGCTTCTGATCATGAAAGAAAGAAAGGTGTGCCATGGACAGAGGAAGAACATAGGTAATGTAGCTGCATCAATTTGTTGTTTCAAAACTATAATTATCCAATTTAACATGACTATAAAAGATAGTTTTCAACAAGTTAGATGTAATCTTCCTTGAAATAGACCCTACAATATATTGAAGTGTTTTTCCTCTTGATATATACAGAAATCAGTATAATAATGTATCTTAGTATACAATTATAAAGTGGTCATAATTTTGGAAAATTGAAGGTTTCTGAGGGGTCCAGCCAATTACCATGAATTCTTACAATGTCTTTTGTTGTCAAGAACTATGAAAAAAATGCCTTATTGTTAAATATCTGGTCTGAACTCATGGTGAATAAGTTGTTTTTGATGTTTAAGTTCTTTTCTGATCTTTGTGATGTGGTGCATCGATGATAAAACCTCAGGCAATTTCTGATGGGGCTTAAAAAGTATGGTAAAGGGGACTGGAGAAACATATCGCGCAATTTCGTGACCACACGGACACCAACTCAGGTTGCTAGTCATGCTCAAAAGTACTATATCAGGCAGCTTGCCGGAGGGAAGGACAAAAGGAGGTCAAGCATCCATGATATCACAACCTTCAATCTCTCGGACACTAAATCTCCTTCACCAGACAATAGTAAATCTCCTTCACCGAATCTTTCTATCACGGTTGTTCAGCAGCAGCACAAGGACTTGAATATGAAGGGCATGAACAATGCTATATATGATTGGAACTTGCCGAATCAAGGACCAGCAATGGCTTTTTATGGGACTTTTCCATATGGACTGGGCCTGCAGGAACAAAATCTGCACAAAGGCACTCTTCATGGAACTCAGTTTGGACCTTGCAATCCCTATTTTCAAATGCAATCCAGACAACATCAACGACTCCATTAGACAGGTGGAAGCTCACTTCTAAAGAAATTGAAGTGACGAGTTTATATATGATGTTGGATGTCACTGTCCACGCACTTCTATGGTTTATCGTGAATATGTCGATGAAGACTAGAGTTAGTTGATAGTGACAAGAGTCTGGCAAGAAACACAGTTCATATTGGGTTCAAAGTTCATAAGTCGATCCTTGGAATCTAAAGGAAAGCCTAACTGGGAGATCTCGGGGTTGTATGGCCTTAATATTTTGCTGTATGTTCTGAAGGGAATTATAGGTTAAATAGAAGACATTTCCAACTTCGGCTTGTATAGCTAATATTTCCAATTGCGTTGAAGTTGTTTGATAGATGACCTTGAGAAAAAGTGGTTAAAACTATATGCAAGCTGTCCCATTACCGAGCTTGATTCACATCAAACATGCAGCTTCCAAGTTCAAAGCATGGATAAAACATCGGCAAGATAAGTTTCTCTGAGAATGAATGCAGAGCTGTGCAAGTCTGGACAAAAAGATATAGTTGAACTTTGCTAATATTATTGTTCCTGAAGTTCATCCTCTCGAGACTTTGTTCTAGTTCTACAATTACTTGGTGTAGTCTTAGATTCTTGTTTGTTATTTGCCTTTGGTAATAAAAGTTTTGGTGGAGTCATATTCTATGGTTTACTTTTAGTTATATATTTGCTCTTGGTTTTCGTAGCTAAAAGAGGAGAAAGTCTATTCAAATTTTGTAGAGCTGAACTAAAGTTCAGGATGGCAAAATCATGAGGACTTAATATGATTCGAAGCTTGGAATCATTTTGTGCTCTTTACACTCATTGATGGACCAAAGTGGAGGCAGTTGGTTTTCAGAAAAGGCCAGTAATCAGATGCTTAGTCCAAATTGGCTGAGTCACCATGCACTCCTTGAGGTGACATGGTATAATCTGACCGCTTTTCCTTTAATATCAACTTGGCAAAATAAGAATTCTGCCTTCCACAGTACTTACCAGACTTAGTTTGACAACCTGAACCTAGGCAAAAGGTAAGTCTGAGTCCACCAACACGAGGACCTTATGCTTCGATCTCTCTTCACTTCTCTTTTTATTCAACTTCAGGATGACAATCTCTCTCACTTTGTTCTCCGAAGACAATTCCTTTTGAATCAGGCAATTATTAAACTAAAGAATATGTATCCGATATAGTTGTCCATGTTGATTTCTTACTTACTTATTATGTTTTGTTTTTCCATTGGTTTTTCAAACCATATAAAGGTATCTAAAGACTCACATTCTCAATGGACTCTCTTTATTTGTCTTGAAAGGCATTATTGTTCTCTTTTGAGACCCACTCATCTCTCCTTTCCTCCTAGTTAGATACCTTCATATCTTGCAACAAAAGAATCATTGTTTTTGTGATTGGTGAGTGTCAAACAGTAAGATAGCAAATTACAGGATCTAAATGTTCAGTAAATCCCTTTCCTTTTTGCAACCCTGTTCATAAGTTGCTGTAATGAGTTCATCATAAACTAAAATTATTTCTTTCTTAATATTTATGATGGGCTTGAAGATTCTGTCCTTGGAAGGATATACCATTGTAACCATAGATTCCCAAAGGTACTTCTAAAGCAAGAATCCTCTCCCTAACAAGGTGGAGTGCAGGATTAAAGTGCTAATTATTAATTGACCAGACAATTACAGTGATTGAATCTTAATAATCAATACATTGGACTCTGATCAACATCAATACGTAACCCTTGACCATTCTTTCCTGATTAGAAAATAATTTAGCATGTCTGACCACTAATAAAGCAAGTTCATTAGTATGTTGGCACACGCCCGCCCACACACTCCTAAGTGTTGCTGTCCACCACTGACCTACTCCTTCGCCGATCCGTCACAGTAGTCAACGAATCCTCTCGGCAGTGCTTGTTCATGTCTGAATTAATCCCCAAGTGTTCACGATTCGAAATGAAAAATAAAAATTTTAGATTTTTGTGCTCTACAGTTACAATATTGTTAGAGGATCTCACATTCTCTCCTCTCATTATGCAGCTTTGTTGTTGGATACTTGGTGGTACTACCCTCCATGTTGCTGCTAGAACTACCATGAAAAGCCAAGTGCCCACCAACATCACTTCCACATATGGTTTTTGGTCCCTCCCACTAGACATATAATTCAAGGCACATGACAAATAAGACCATTCCTATGAGCTTTTCTAAAGCAGCACTTTTCTGTAAGTTGAGTCGAAAAGCACTTTGGCCACTTTATTCTGCTTTTTATTTAACCTTCTAAGTATATTATGGCCACAACCTACACTTTTGGTGTTTTGTGTTTCTTTATCTTATTGTTTAAAAGATTCTGATACTTTGCTTCAGAATGATTTCAACAAACAATACATCAATAGTGCTTATAAACAGATATCAGCCAAATAGCAGGAGCACAAGTAAGTGGCTCAGGTGGAGTTGAATAACATTTCTCTATGGTGCTTCTTTGTAGGCCCATAGATATATCAGAACAAACTCGGTGGGAGGTTTGATACGTATCAAAGGCAATGTAGCAAAGAGGACAGAAAGTGGAGGGTGCTATAGTCACAAGCAGTTTACAAATGGTGGCCGAACCAGAAACTTCAAAGTGGAGCAACCAAACAGAAAAATATTACTGGTTATCAATTTTTTTTTTTTTTTGTGGGGGCGGGGGATAAAGGATTAAAAATTTAATTATCGAGACCTAGGAGGGGGCCATGGCCCTCTAGGCCATTGTGTGTTTCTGACCTTGGTAGGGGTACAACTTGGACAGATCAACCTGAAAAAAAATAGAATTTGAGTTTGAATTTTTAATACTTGAGTTGAGTTTGGACAAAAAAATTCCGACCCGAATTAAATTTGGGCAAACCTCGGATTAAGGCTTCGAGTTGTTGGGTTCAACCTGAATATTAAAATTAGGTTGAACCCAAATATACATAAATATATAAATATATTAAACTAGAGTTAGTATTTATTTTTACTCTTCAGAGTCTAGACTTTCACTTCACTTCAAATTTTCATCCCTGTGCCTCCATCACTATCAGATCCCTCTCTCACTCATCACTCGTTTTTCATTTGGTCTCAAACTCTCAGTTTCTCTCTCTCACTTGTCTGAGTCTCATCTCAGACTTTCAATCTCCATCCCTCACTCGTCACTCCTCTCCCATTTATTAACCTGAATTAAGTAACTCGAGTCCAGCCCAATTTTTAACCAAAAAATCTGCCCGAATTAAATAATCTGAATTCAACCCGAGCTCGCCCAAATTAAGTAATCCGAATTAAACTAGGACAATACTCGGGTTGAGGTCGGGTTAGGGTTAGAGTTGAAGATTATATACCTAGAGTTATATTAGAATTGACCTCTTAGCCCGTTCAACCCACCCGAGTTGCACCCCTAGTCCCTGGACATAGTTAACTCATTTGTCACCCGAATGGTGGGACAACATACGAAACTTATAAAGGGTTACAAGCACATATTATGCTCACCTAAGGTCTTGTTATGAAGTAAGAGAATGCAACGTATACAACATATGAAACTCAGCTACTGCATCAATAATTTAAGAGAGAGAGAAAAGGGTAGATGTCAAAAAATACAAAAGCCATAGTATAAGCTGTGATCTATTGACCTAAGCTGATAATGTGAGAGTTTACTTGTCTTCCATTTAATTGGTGAAGGATTTGAACAACGTTTGTGATACTTGCTGGAAGTCTGAGACTTCTACAGGTTCTGTATGTGCATTCCTTAGCTCAAAATTATATTAATCTATCTCCTTGCTAGAAAAAATTTCTATTTTTTTCAATAAATTTGATGATACACAAAACAGGCTTATGCACAATCAATAGTTGAGTGTGTAAGACAGAGTAATTATTGAACAATTAATAAAGCAATCAATAATAAAAGGCAAATATTGGGTCAACACGCAGATGTATAGTGGTTCAGTTAAGGGGATTTACTCCACTCCGAAAGCGACAATAGTGGCCGGAGAATCGTTATTAATAAAGTAAAGTGAGAGAGAGAGAGAGAGAGAGTGAGCTCGGGGAGATATATGGTAGCTATGAGAGAGATAGTTATGTAGAAGTGTGTAAAACGATGCCCCCTCTCATGTAGAGAGAACTTATAATTTATAGGCACAGAGCCTTAGTTGAGGCGATGACTTGATGGATAGATTACTAGCTTATAGGAGAGGATAACTACAACTAGGATAGATACAATTAAAGATAATCTTGATCTTTGAGAGTGGTTATCCCAATGATTGCTCCCCACGTGCTCTAATCTTTTTGGACTGATTGAACTTTGGACTGGGTCGAATTCACGAGTTGTGCTTAGCTTATCTTTTAGCTGATTTGGGCTTACTTGATTAATTGGACGTAACCTAGTTGAATCTTGGCTGATCATTTGGCCCCCCATGCCCTAAGCCTTTGAGGTGACAAGAGGTTGAGGGCATGAGAGTCTTCCCTGCTTGGACGAGTAGAAATTTCTTGTTCCATACGATAATTCCTTAGCTTCTTGCTCTATTTGCACCTCAGGAGCTTACTTCTTCATCTTCCTTGTTTTATTATCGGGCGCCCACTTACAGTGATATCGCCACTTTGGGAGCACTTTTACCCCGCAAGGACAAAACCCTATTCCCCTCATTTAGGGCTAGGTTCTCATTTTTTAAATTCTGATAAACCACAGTAGGAGGAGATTCTCATGGAAACTAGAGGAAAATTCATAAGGGCTTGCAGTTTCTTTGGGGGGCAAAAGTCAAATGACATTTTGGGTCACCCCCAATCGAGGTTAGGCATCAGAGGTGAAGGCAATGACATCGCATTGGCAGTGTTAGAGGCTTAGCCGACGCTAAGAGGTTGAGCAAAACTGGTCTCACGAAGGGCGGAGCTTCGGGGAAGGACGACGACGTCTTGGGCAGCATTATAGGGATCGGTGTTCATGGGCGTAAGCTGAATGACAACGCTATTGGGTTGGAGCAAAATGGAGGCGCCCAAGGGTTGGAGGAATGTGGCAATGCCATGGGGTTTAGGGCCCTTCACGTTGGTTCAAGCGAAGACAAAATGTCAGCAGGAGGCTCCAGACTAGCTACCTCGATCTTGGGTAATGCTTTGCGTACGGACGCTGAAGCGGAGAGGGATGGAGGCAATGCCAGCAATGTGCAATGTGCTGGCAGCGCCAGCGACATGCTTGACGATGTCATTCCATAGGGCGAATTTGGCGTTGAGCTTGGCCTAGAGGCGATGGGCGCTGGATCTAGCGACACCTCAATGACTGGGCTTGCTGGCGTGACAAAGGGCTTGGGAGTTAGAGATGCTGGTGAGATCTGAGTAGGGGACACCACAAGGAAGGGGGTCTGCACTAGTGTTGGGGGTAGTGCCTATGCCGTGTTGGGACCATAGGATGGTGCCAAGCACGTGTTGGGCATGCCAAATGGTGCCAGGCACGCACTGGGCACGCTAAGCAGTGCTAGAGGCGCACTGGGCGCCGACTATCTGGGTGTGAGATCTTGCGAAGGTGAGACTGACGCTTGACCTTCTCGTTTTGGCATCTGCTTGATATTGAGACTTTCTTGACATTAGTTTGTCCACTGGCTCTGACTTTGACATGCACCCGCTTTGAGAAGGACATGATGAAGGAAATCACACAAAGCAACCGGCGAGGCAAGGGAATTGCTGGAGATGACAAATCGAAGGTAACTTCCATATTTAGTTCCATAGATTATGATAAAGACATTCTCCGCATCGTATCTTTGTTCCGTATTCCTCCCACCGTTATGTGTTGTCGGGCCGAAGAGGATGAGCTGGTATGTTATGACTTCTTACAAGAGATTGTTCTGTACGAGGACGTTCTAGAGGTAGGTTGAGGTTCTCGATACTTGGGCCCATATGACGGATCATGGGACACCTATCACAGGCTCCAGGGAGGTTGACTCCCAACGGGTGGAGGGTGATCCTTGCATTCTTCTCATTATGGTGACTAGTTCACGGTGTTGATGTTTCTCCCCCTTTCAAGGAGTTTTTGACCACGTATATGCTTCTAGATAATCCTTATCCTCATTAAGGGTGGTATCGTTTTGCCCCAAGGTCGGACAAGGTCATCACAGAACTTCTTTTGAATTGCAATAGATGAAAGTCTAGGTTCTTCTTTGTTGTAGGTGAGTGAGCCACTGAGGGAGATTGTGACCTAGTGCCTTCAAGGTGGGACACTGCTCCGACTAAGTTAGGTAAGAATTTTACCTTTCGCCTTTACGTCTTATTTTCACGTATCCGCTTTTACTATGTGATTGGTTCCTTTGCAGCTTTACCTAGGTTATCTGTGGAGCAAGAGAGTAGACTCCAGGTTATGCGGGATCATCCTTTCAAGGAGTTTTCAGAGATTATGTCTACATCGGGTCATCCCAAAGTCTCCCCTACGCAGAGGAGGAATGGTATTTAATCATTCTAGTAGACTCTTAATGGTAATGACTTTTGTGAACTTTTTGTCTCACACCAACTCTGCAGGTCCCTTTATTGATAGAGCAATGGTAGAGGCTTTTTATGCTTCCAGGGTGGCGTCTTCCCTTTCTTCCTCTAAGAGGGTGAAGTCTGATGCCCCCAACGTTTTTCAATCAAGGTCTGGTGGCCAAGTTAGTCCCCAGGAGACGGGATCCGGTGATGCCCCCGCTCCTTCCCCAGTTGTTATTCCTTCACATTCCAGAGCTAGTCCTAGTATGACCGTAGGGATTAAGGCCCTATTGCGGTCTTCTACAAGGATTGGAGCTCCACTTAGCCTCCTTACTTCTAGTAGTGGTTCAGTATCCATATTGCAGGATATGAATCCGGCTAAGGAGCAACTTTAGGGGTTTGTGACCGCTGGGGAGATCCAAGAGGTCGGTTCTCGAGGTCCAGAAGGCATCATTGACACTGCGATGGTGGGCTTTGCTATGGTATGCCTTTTACTCATCTTTGATTTTGTACTCGCTCCTTTTCCCTCTTGTCCTAATTTTTGCATACTTGTAGGTGATTGTCGCTTTTTCCTACTTGTTTTCAAGCACGATGAAGCTTGGAGTGGCATTCCGTGATCTGACAATGGAGAGGCAGACATGAAGGGCTGCTGAGGAGCAGTTGTGGCTCGAGAGGCAAGCGCGAGAGGCTGTCGAGGAGCAGTTGAGGCTAGCACACGAGAGAGTTGCACCTTTTTGAGACCGAGCTTCTGGCATCATGTGAAAGGGTCGCCCAACTGGAGGCTGACAAAGAGGCTGCCCGCGTGAGAATAGAGATAGAGTTACGAGAGTCTTGTGAGAGGGTCGTTGGAGCAGAGGCCAAGCTATGGATAGCTCGGGAGAGGGCTGTCATGGCAGATGCTGACCTTCGAACAGCTCTTGAGAGAGCTACCAGGGCAAAGACTTACTCCGTTGAGATCAAGAAGAAGAGGGATGTTGCTAAGAGGGCCGTGGTAGGCTCCTTTATCGATGGTTATGAGGAACTTAAAGGAAAGGTCTCAGTATCTTTTCATGCTTATGATTTTTCTGGCTTTGTCCCTTATGAGACACCAAGGACTGATGACGAGGAGGAGAGCTTTGATGGGAGTAGATCGGGGAGTAGTGAGTGATTGTTAGGAGTACCATACTTTTATCCACGTGTTTCTCTTTTTGTGGCTAGGTAATGTTCTATCTTTGGTAAATATTTTATGAACTTCTATGGAATGAAAGACAGTTTTTGAAAAAGACAAAGTCTTGCAAAATTTTATTTCATAATCTGAAGTAAATAATAACGAAAATTGACTAAAACAACAAGAGATAGTTTAAATGGTGACTATTGACTTGTGCATCCACCGTCTTGCCCCCAACTCTTGGTTATATTTCTTTAGGTGCTCTGCATTCCATTGATGGGTCTGGACTTTTCCCTCAGAGTTCTGAATGTTATAGGTACCCGGTATTACAACTTCCATGACCGTGTAAAGTCCTTCCCAATTTGGGTCTAGCTTCCCTTCCTGAGAGTCCTTGGTAGATAGGATAACTTTTTGGAGGACTAGGTCCCTAGACAAGAAAGAGCGAGACTTCACCCTCAAGTTGTATTACTTGGTCATGCGACGCTTATACTCTGCATGCCTGAGGATGACTATCTCTTTCTCATCCTCTACCAAGTCGAGGTTGATGCGAAGACCTTCTTTGTTAGTGGTAGGGTCATGGTGTCGGACCCTAGGAGAGTGTACCTTAATCTCGATCGGCATGATCACCTCTGTCCCATAGGCTAATGAGAAAGGGGTCTCACCCGTGGGGCTTCTTGATGTTGTCTGGTAAGCCCATAGTACTCGTGGGAGTTTATCCACCCATCGCCCCTTTGCACTCTCCAATCTGGTTTTTAGGGTGCGGGGGATGGTTCTGACGATGACCTCCACTTGTCCGTTCGCCTATGGATGGGCTGGGCTGGAGTGGGGTTACTTGATCTGTAGGTCAGCGCAAAAGCTGTTAAGTTGTTTATTGTCAAATTATTTGGCGCTATCGCTTACAATTGCATGAGGTATTATGAAGCGACATAATATGCTCCTCTAGATGAAGTCTTCACCTTCTGGTATGTTATCCTAGCTAAGGTCTCGGCTTCTGCCCATTTAGTGAAGTAGTCAATGGCTACCATCACAAATTATGGATAGAGGACTTAGGATGTTGATTCCCCACATGGAGAAGGGCTACGAGCTCTAGATGGTGGTTAACTTTTCTAGTGGTTGCCTATGCACAATTGCGAAACGCTAGCACTTGTCACATTTTCTTACGAACTCGTGAGCATCTTTGATCATGCTAGGCCAGTAATAACCTTGCCTTATTGCCTTGTGAGCTCATGTGCTCCCTCCTGAGTGGTTTCCACATATCCCTTCATGAATCTTTCTTATGGGTGCCACTTCCCGTTGACCTTTGTAATCATCACTACATTTCATAGCCAGTCTAGGTAGGCTACCTCCGTTAATGATCTATTTTTCAATAGCTTTTCCACTTCTTTTTCCATGGCTTGGCCTCTCTCAACACTTATATTCCTCAGCTTCTGGCGGAAGGCTTTGTACCTGGGATTGACATTGAGCTGGTGGGAGGCCACTTCGGGGTTGATGCCCTCTAGGTCTTTGTGGGACTAGGCAAAGACATTCATGTTCCGTCTAAAGAAGTTTACCATGTCGGATACTTGCTCTTGGAAAAGTGAGGAGCCAATATAGATTCTCCTCTTTAGAAGGCTTTTGTCCAGCTCTACTAGCCAAAGTTCTTCTGCTGGTTTTCCTCTCTCCAAGGTATTGTTATCTCGAGGGTCTGATATTTTGACTTGGAGGCTCTCCTAGCCCTCATAGAGGCCACATAGCATTCCCTGACAGAGACTTGGTCTCCTCTGACTTCTTCGATTCCACAAGGGGTTAGGAAGCGGAGGAATAGGTGGTAGGTGGATGGTACTGAAGGTGTTGAGTGTAGGGCACCCAAGAATGATGTTGTACGCCAAAGGACAATCCAGTAAAAGGAAGTTCACCATGATGGTGGAGCTTCTTGGAGTTGTCCCTGCTGTGACTGGCAAGGTCATGGAACCCAAGGGATAAACCTTCTCCCCTAAAAAGCCAACAAGAGGAGTCCTGACGGGTTGCAATCTCTCTCTACCAAGATAAAGGTTGTCAAAGGCTGGTGTGAATATGATATCGACTAAGCTGTCGCTTTCGACCAAAATTCTCTTAACCTAGTATTTGGCTACGATTATAGTTAAGACTAGAGGATCATCATGATGGACTTGGATTCCCTCGAGGTCACTTTCTGAAAAGGTGATGACCTTTTCTTCCCTATGTTAGGGTGTCTTCGTCGAGCGAGAGTCATGCGACTTTGACTATTTGACTCTTTTGGTGTGTGCTTTCTTGACAGAGTTAGAGTCACCTCCTCCTTCTAACCCACCAGAGATCATCTAGATTTCTCTGAGGGGTTGCTGATACTCTTGGTCCTCCTGATTCCTACAAGGGGTGGGCCTGTCCTCGGCCAGTAACATACTGTCGTAATTGACCACGCTGAATAAGCTCCTCGATCTTCCTCTTTAACTCAAAGCAGTCGTTAGTGTTGTGGCCATGGTCACGGTGGAAGCGACAATATTTATTTGGATTCCTGCGGTTTGGGGCAAACTTTATCTTCCCAGGCCAACGGAGTATAGGGTCATCTTGTATCTAGAACAGGATATGCTCCACCAAGGCATTGAGAGGTGTGAAGGCCTGCGGTTCTCTTTGGGGTATGGGATTGAGGCAATCCTTGACAAACATTCTCTCTGTCCTCTTTCTCTTGTTCTCTACCTCCCACTTGTCCTCGTGGGTGTCCTTCCTTTTCTCCTTTCCTCGGGAGGATTTAACTCGTCAGACTTTGGTGACATCCTTGACATTCATGTACTATTGTGCCATTGATAGCAACTTGGGCATGCTAGAGGGTGGTTTCTTCAGGATAGAGAACATAAAACAAGAGGAGCGCAGGCCTGCAATAAAGGCAGTCATGGTTATCTTATCGTCTGACTCCTCGATCTAGAAGGCCTCCTAATTAAAATAAGTAAGGTAACTCCTAAGGCTTTCATCTCGGTCCTGCTTGATGGTGAGCAAGTGGGTAACCCGCTTCTAGTGTCAGCGTCCCCAATGAAGTGGGAGACAAATGATTTGCTCAGCTCCGCAAAGGAGTGGATAGAAAATGGTTTGAGCTTCGCGAACCATTGTCAAGCGGATCCCTTCAAGGTGGTAGGGAAGGCTCTACACATATCAGGCACGTTGTGGAGTTGCATGAGAGATTTATATATGTCAAGATGATCTAGGGGTCCTTGGTGCCATCAAAGATCTCGATGGTAGGCACCTTGAACTTCGAGGGTAGAGGATAGTTGACAATATCCATAACAAACGGAGTGTCAGTACGATAATCCACCGTTTTTGGTGCCTATGCTTTGATGGTGTTACTGGCATCGCCAAGCTGGTTTTGCACCTCCTTGATCTTCTCATCCCATTGGTTAGGACATCTTCTGTTGGATCATTGTAGTAGCTTTCATGATCTGCATACTAGTTCTCCCCCCTCATCCTCCTGCCTAAGACGGTCGGCTGCGTGTGGAGTAGGTACATGAGGAGGGAGAACATGTGAGGCGTCTGCGCACAATGGGGGGACTCCTTGGCGAGGGGCACCCTGGCACTACATAGGGGCACCCTGGGGCTGGGTGCCACGGTGGGAAGCGCTTTGGCACCTAGAGTGGGGAGGTCGTGACATCTCTCCAATTGGAGGGTCTACTGTTCCCGCAAGCTGAGGTGCGATGCCTCCCAAGACGAGCATCTGCTGGATGATTTGTTGGTTTTGGCTTACCAACAACTGCATGGTCTTCAAAAGCTGTTGCCCGACAATGGGAGTTGTCGTAGTGGACGGTTCCGCTGGTGTAGACGAAAGCGAAGCCTCCTTCTAGCGGGCTGGGTTGTTGTCTTCTGATGGTTGATTCATCGACCTGGTTGTGATTATCATGGATTTGAAAGAGAATAGCAACGTAGTAGAAAACTCATTCGTTTTTCATAGACAACACTAAACTGATGATACACGAAACAAGCTTATGCACAATCAATAATTGAGTGTGTAAGGCAGAATAATTAATGAACAATTAATAAAGCAATCAATAGTAAAAGGCAAATACAGGGTCAACACGCAGATGTATAGTGATTCGGTCAGAAGGACTTACTCCACTCCGAAAGCGGCAATGATGACTGGAGAACCTTTATTAATAAAGTAAGATGAGAGAGAAAGAGAGAGCTCGGGAAGAGGTATGGAAGCTATGAGAGAGATAGCTATGTAGAGCTATGTAAAGAGATACCCCTCTCATGTAAAGAGAGTTTATAATTTCTAGGCACAGTACTTTAGTTGAGGTGGTGACTTGATGGGTAGGTTACTAACTTATAAGAGATGATAACTACAACTAAGATATGTATAATTAAATATAGCATTGATCTTCAAGAGTGGTTATCCCGTTGATTACTCCCCACATACTCTAAATTTTCTTGAACTCCTTGAACTTTGGGCTGAGTCGAATTCACGAGCTGAACTTAACTTGCCTTTTAACTAATTTGGACTTACTCAACTAATTGAGTATGAACCAATTGGATCTGGGCTCATCAAAATTTACACCAAGTTTCACTATATTATTGAAGAGATTCACTGCTAGAAATACAAGATAAACTTGAAGACAGGTTTTCTTAGCTGTAAACGCTGTCAATTGTTGGTCAGTGCAACTGAGTCACTTTGTTCATCTTCACAAAAGGGCGATCCACAAACGTCTCTTACTAGCCAAGTGAATGAAAATGATGGACAGGTACGCTTATCACATGATTGTTGCGAAAATGATGAACATGCACTAGTTTCTTAATTAAATTAGAAAATAATATTCTGCGATTTACAAAGCTAAACGCATAGATAAAGATTTGGGAACCGTTTCTCCTGACAAGCTTTGATTGAACCAAGTTGATTACACCGTAAAGTAGACAAGGATTTACAGACAAAGAACAATGCAATAGACCCTGACCTTGTCATGTTTGTTACAAATAAATTACATCCAAATCAGACATTAGGACTATGACAGCACACGATAAGTAGGCTTTCCAAAGCTCTCTATAAGCAGTAAAAGATCAGACATGTTCAAAAAGGGTTCTGAAATTTGTGGTCACATTGTACAATCAATGAGAGCATTCAATCACACAGGTATCTTCAAGATCCTTCTTCAGAGCACGAATATGCTTTAACAATATCTGATGCCCAAATCCCAAGATTTATGTGAATCACCTGTAGTCAATTGCTGGTGGTGCCTGAAAAATACGCCTAAAGAACCACTGAAATGGTCTCAGGAACTCTGCTCTCTTCTTCCTCCAGAACCAAATGGCAGCGTTATACTGTTCATTTCGGATCTTTCGAGTGGCAGCCCTCCAATCATACTTTTCCGTTTCTTCGCGTGCAGCCTTGCCGATAGTTTCTCTTAGTTCATGGTCACGCAAAAGAGGCACCAATTTGCTTAAGCAGTCATCAGCATCACCGGGATTAAAAAGATAACCAGTTTTACCCTCTTGATCTTCAGGAATGATGTCTGGAATTCCTCCGGCACGAACACCCACCACGGGAAGCCCCGATGACATGGCCTCCAAAACAACAAGGCCAAGTGTCTCTGACTCTGAAGGCATAACAAAAACATCTCCACTGGCGTATGCCTGAGAAAGCTCCTCACCATGTAACATCCCTGTGAATACTGCAGGCATGCCGGAGAACATATTTTCCAGCTCTTCCCTGCAAGAAAGGAATTATACTCGGAACAAAATTATATATTTCTAACATATTTTATGGTGATTCTGTCAGAAGAGTTCAGGTGATTATCACTCTAGGTATAATGTTTTTTTAGAAATAAAGGTTGTAACAGATGATTGATCGATCACCCTGATCCCCACCTGTAACGATTGTACAACCCATAGTTTGCCCCAAACAACTCCAGAAGGATTTATGGAAGTAAGCAGTTAATAAGTGTAATTGCAACTCACCTGTATGGCCCATCTCCAATGAAAGCTATTCGTGCTTCTGGGAGCCTATCCATGATCCTGTTTCAAACATGCATTTCAAATGTCAAACTGCTACAGTTAACAAACACATAAACTGACCTGAAAAAAAAGAACAATTTTGTAAAAACGTCCAATTCAAAAAACTGAAGCAACAATTCCTGTGCTACATAGAACACAAAAATAACATTCATGAATGATTATTAATGTAATGTAAACAGGTACCCCACAAAATTCAATCTTCTGATGAATTCCAGAGTTGCATTATATACCCATTCATATAACAAGCAAGAGAATTCCAAAGTTGAGAAAAATTGTAATGGGATAAGTGAGAAGATTGAAGTCACAATGACAAAGGCTTTAACAACTTGGGTACTGCAGTTACATAAATTGTTAACTGGACACAGCTTACTCAGCTCAGCCTCTTATCAACTGTGAGTCATGCCAGCAAAGGGCTTAAAGGTAAGCAAAAAACGGTCACTGAATCACAACTATCGCCAAAGAGAGAGGAAGATCATGGGGGAGCAAACTAGGCAGTCGTTTCCAATATGTGCAAGCAAATGTTCTGCATTGGCATAGAAGAGCAATACCTCCTAAAGAATTCCAAATTCTTCTCAGCTCCCAATCGCCCAACATGGACTATCAATGGCCTCTCAGGCTCACCATTGCTGATTTTGGAAGAAGGTTCATTAGCATTCAAAGATGAGTCATACTGCATGGCAATGACATTGAAATGGTGGGAGGCAGGTCCTACCTGAGTCTTAATCGCATTTCATGGGAGCGATAACGTGGGTGGAAACTTTCGGAATCAACGCCTTTATTCCAGAGACGAATTTTGTTAGCTGAAAATAGGAACAGAAATAGCAGCAGTTTAGCATTGATATAGCTGTATAGACATTAATATTGAGCTATATAACAAACATTTCTCACATCAAGGATATGTAGATAAAAAGTGCCAAGTGAATTAGATGCTTGCAAAAATAAAACACCAAGAAAAATGCATATTGTGCAGAAGTATAAAGTTTGTTGTTGTTATCATGTCAGTAAAGCTCAGCTGCAGAGAGTGATTCACTGAGTGGAAGATGCTTATTTTCACCTGTTGTCACATTAGCCTCTTCAAGCTCCTTTCCAAGGGCAGCTGATGGCACCAATGTAAGATCAGCTGCTCTGTGAAGAAATTCTGATATATATATAAAGAAAAAAAAACCCTTAGAGAACTCACAAGCATGAACCTTGAAATCCATAATTAATTTGGAGCAAGAAAGAACACCTCACATACTTATAACTAGCCACATTGGTTGGACCAGCCAACTAAAGGTATATCTTGTATGTATCTGCAAGACAAGAATTCAGCTCAGCCCAAGACCTAATTGGACATACTTCAGAAAAATATGGTTTCATAATGAGGCGGTAGCAAAACCTTATCAGGAAGATCAAGGAACTTACACTGGAACATGGGTATGATAAGACATCACAATAGGCACAGACAATAGTTTTGCAATGGCGAGTGCACCAAATACCTACGAAACAAAGGGAAACCGTGAACACTTCAACAAAAACAATTGGTTTTTTCCTTGGTATTCTTTAAAGAGCAATGCACAAAATATTTGATCAAGTAAGAACAAGAGAACGGGCAATCAAAATCTTACCATAATACCAGGAGATGATGCATGAATTATGTCAGGCTTAAATTGTGCAACCTCTGAGATTATTCTAGGCTGAGTGCTAGGGAAAGAGGCACCTTTTCGTACAAGGGGCAGGGGAAGCTGCAAAAAAAAGTTCAGAAAAATTAGGAGAAAGCAACATTTTTAGACCTCCTTGGCACTGACCAAAAACAGTACCGGGCACACTATTTGAGAATTATATAGTCCAACCATCCCATTGGTTTGGAATCTTTGGATGAACCAGGAAGAAAAAAATTATAAGTAAAACTCTATAGGAAACTCAGTAAGTATAGTCATCATATGTGATGCCATCAATTCATTCGATAAAAACTAAGACATATGAGATCAAGAAGTTACAACCTCCGTGATCCAATCAATTTTGCTCCATAAAATTCCTGCGGCACTCCTTCATGTGTGGTCACAACCATCACCTACACCATTCATTTTCAAAAACCCAAACTGGTAGTCAATCATGTGCAGACATTTGTAGAAATTATGTACAAAAAAGAACGTTAGACAATACAATTAAGGCAATCAAAGGACTGCGGAGTGCATGAGCCTAGGACTAATAGTCAGGTGATCTAAAAATCCTGAATCATTCTCGTTAGCTAATTTCAACATAGTCCAACTCAACCATGTTATGGGCCATGAGACTAACTTCAGGCTCTCATGACTAAAAATTTAGCTGCTAGCAAGCACCTCTAATTAACAAAATATACATGTGCTAAAAGATAAGGACTTTACCTCGTCTCCCATTTCACGTAGATATTTAATAAAATTCTGGAACCGATTTTTATACCCGAGACATAACTGCATGTTCAACAGAAAATCGATAGTTTATTAATCAACATGTACTATGCTAAATAAGGAGAAAATATAAAACCATGATTTCAATGAACCGCAACTTGATTTTAAAATAATAGCAAAGTAAACTATACACAGCCTAAAAAAACGGAAACACAGGAAAATAAATGGAATTTTCTAATGTGGAAGCGCAACAATATAAAGTGTAACCACCAAAGTTAGTCAAACAAAATAAAGATGCAAACACACACAGCACCAAATGGAACCAATATACGCTGCTTAGTCTTGATAGATCTCATCCAAGGATCCAAGATATCTGGAAAATGCCACTCCACCAAGATCAATGAACTCAACAGTCAACCCACCTTCAAGATTCCAATTGGCTTGACAAGACAAGATTCTCATGCCAAAACTATTGGTCTAATTTTTCTCACACAACACAAGTAATCATATCTATTAAGTAATTTTAAGCTTGAACTTATTAAGCATAAGTTTAATCCTTTGTAACTGTAGCATTGGCCAGGAATTAATCAGGTACTGCCCCATATTTTTTTAACTATATAACATTGGGAAAGAACAAGGAAAAAGTGCAGAGTTCATGTGCTGTGAAGCAAGATAAAAATTTCAAACACTAAATAAATATTGGCAACCAACAGCATTACCAGTTGTTACTGCTTATATTGAGTCTCTTAACTAACAAAATCATCTACTCTTTCTCGTGCATGCCATCTAATCCAAGAACAGCGACGAAAAATTCAAATTGAACTAAACCAGAAGATAAAAATAAAATGGCATCCAAGAGGTGAACTAACATAAGACAGTCTAGGTTGATGCAGTACTATCATTTGCGACTTCATGTTACCGCAACACTTCAACAGAAAAGGTACATGGACATAAAAAAAAAACAGTGCTACATTCAATGCAACAAGCATGTCCAGAGCATGAGTCGAATAATGCAAATACTTGCAATTTTGGGGTGCTTCATGGAGCAAAATTAGATTTAGCTACTTCACAGTCACAAAACCCATATCCAACTGAAGTCTGAAAGAATTCTAACTAGTTTGGTAATTGGTATATCCTGACAAATGGAATAGAAGGAAGCAACAGGAAATATAAAAAGGAAAATATATCACAAAGACATTGACATCCATAGGCATGTCTTGCTGCATCGCAGTAGAATGGTATTGGCCAGTACGTTGCAATTCGGAGATGAAGACGATGAAGACTTGGCCACATATCATCACGACGTTTCCGAGTCAACATGAGTCGAGTAAGACTCAATCATTTGTTGGGTTTCCCTCCTTTGTGGGAC